ACACATGAGTGTGTGATATTTTCTTTTGTGTACACACACACACACACACACACACACACACACATATATATATATATATATATATATATATAAATTTGTATATATATATATATAAATATAGGTTTATACATAACACGTTCCTGTGAACTAAGCTAAAGAAGTCCTAAAATATTTAATAAAAACCATTAAAAAATTGAATTTGAATTATTTACATAAAATTTAAACCAGACAGGATGGTGGAGGAGGAAATGTGCTTCTATAAGCCTGTTGACATTTCCTTCCGCTGTTTTTGGACGTTTAATTTCCTGTATCTAAGGAGGAGATCAGCTAATTAATTAGTAATGTAAACAGGCTTTAGTTACAGGCAGCCGTCCCCGTTATCACTATGGTATAGCACTGTGGTCTAATCTGTAGATGAGATGAACGCAGGTGTATTTATATAAGAGGATGGATTGGATTTGGCTGGATTATAAACTGCCTATGCAGATACCATCTGTTATATCAAAACGCTGTCAGCATCAGTGTGTCAGCATCCCGGCTGCAGAGATGTGACATTTTTATTTACTGTCGACTCTCAGCTTCAGTTTGGTAAGTGTTTGTTGCGCAGCCTGTTGTGTTGACACAGCAAACGGTAGATAATTATTGAGTCCATGAGAATGCTCATCATTAAAATTAACTAATCTCCATATGTCTGCGCACAACTTCTACTAAATGATCCATGGACCTGTACCAGTCTGGGGGTTGGGAGCCACATATAATGATAAGGCGCACAGGATTTGACTAGCATGCCTTAAATTGTGGAACTCATATGTCTTCTACAGCAAGTTGTTTTAGAGGCTTCTCTTGACCGACTGTAGTCTGTGTGTAATCAACTAGTGATGTGATATGTAACAAGTGACCCTGGTCAGATCTACGATGGTTTTAAGGAATGTCTCAGACTCATGGGACATGGTGTATGTGGAGGCCACTGAGACCAGCCGACATTAAAGTCTGGGACAGGTTGAAACAGCGCTGCTAATCTAGTCTTCTGCTTCGCTCAGAGTCTGATCACGTTTGAGGTTTAATTACACTTTTCCACCTTGTTAACTTGTCATAAACCTTGGTGAACTGTGTGTACCATAACTCTGCTGGTCCCATGGTGCAGGTCACATGACTGCTTCAGCCTCAGAGCCAGCTGTATACTTGACTGTCTCTTTCCTCTTTGTGCTCAGTGTTCTGCTGTGTGCTCTATGAGGTTATTAGCACCTTGTGGTGCCAGAGTCTTAGTGTGAGTGCTGGGGTATGACATATACATGATTTATTTGTTTTTGAGGTTAACTTAAAAGCTGTAAACCTTTTTATATACATAGTGACTGTATCACCTGAATAGTGATTCTTTACAGTCACTTCTTCAGGTTGGGTTTCAATAAATATGCAGTGAACTGGAAGGCAGTGTTATAAAGGTCACACGGCCCTGTGGGGAATGGAGTGATGTGTGTTGTCTAGCTGCAAGCTGTGAACCCAAACCAGAGAGACACGAAGTATCCATCCATCCATCCATCCATTGTCATCCGCTTATCCGTTACCGGGTCGCGGGGGCAGCAGTCGCCACCCAAATCACATTGCACCGTACCAACCCCCCAAACCTTCCTGCAGGTGGTGAGTCCACTGGAAGGTATACACGAAGTATCAAAATTCTTTTTTTTTATTATTTTTTTCTTCTTATTAACAGAAGGTTCTTTCAAGCCAAAATTAAACAAATGTTTCTGTTAAAACAAACAAAAAATCTTCAAACTGCTATTGCTGTCATCGCAGACTATGTGGCAATACAACACAAATTGGGAGTTATCAGAACTCTGAATCACAGAGCCAAACACATCCCTTCCCAATAGGAGGACAAGGCGAAGGAACAGTCTCACATCAGAAGAGCTTTAAAGACCTGCGGCTACCCCAATTGGGCCTTCTCCAAAGCCACCAAAACCAACCAGAAAAACAGAGAGGAGGACAGTAACAAACAGAACAACATTGTCATTCCTTATGTTGCTGGGACCTCCGAAAAACTTAGGAGAATTTTTAATCAGCACCATATTCCTGTCCATTTTAAACCCACCAACACCCTCAGACAAAGACTGGTTCATCCAAAGGACAAAATACATTGCCTCAAACAGAGCGAAGTTGTATATGCAGTACAGTGCAGTGAGGACTGCCCTGATCTCTACATTTGGGAAACCAAACAACCACTGTACAAGTGTATGCAACAACACAGGAGAGCCAGCTCCTCAGGGCAGGACTCATCATCAGCTGTTCATCTACATCTTGAGGACAAAGGACACACTTTTGAGGATAAGGATGTACATATCCTCACCAGAGAAGAGAGATGATTTGAGAGAGGGGTGAAGGAAGCCATCTACGTCAATCTGGAGAAACCATCTCTCAATAGAGGAGGTGGTTTGAGACACACCTCTTATCCACCTACAATGTCATCCTGAGTTCTCTCCCCAAAAAATTCAACCCGCTACCTGAAAACAAGACCACAGTTTCATTTCAAAGCACACCCAGCCAAAAGTGTCACTCAGGTGCTATAACTATTAGTCCATAGCTATGGTACCACTCCCCATTCACACCTCCAACCTGGTGACTTTACATCCCCCTCCTTAGAATATGGTGTGTTTCACCACACCTCCATCCCCCCTTTCTGCAATGACCCTTGTTACAGGTATGTAGCCCCCTGAAGGCTAAATACCAGAATTTCCCAGTAGTCAGTCAGAACTGAAGAAGCCTTTTGAATGAGAGGTGAAACGTCTTCAAAAAAACCTACTCCGTCCAGTTGCCCTTGATGTAACTTTTTCTTGGATTAAATGACCCGGATGACTGAGAACCTACACAGACATAAAACTGAGTATTAAGCCAAAGTCAAAAGTCAGTCAACTTCATTGTCAAATATGCCATACATACAGGACATATGGCACAATGAAATTGCCACGGTGCAAAATGGCAAGGATATAATAAAGGAGATATTTGCAAGGGAACAGGAAATAAACTAATAATATATGTACAATGTACAAAGAAACACACTTGTGAAGATATATGCTGAAAAACAACATGTGCTGTGACATTATTCAGTAATTACAGACAGAATGAACGATGAGTGGTGAATCAATAAAAGCAGTAGTGACTCAGCTTATTCGGTTGAGGGTGAGGTAGTACTTGGAGATGGTGCAACATGTCTATGATGATCCACAGTCTTTTTATTCATACTAGTGCAAATAATTTGTGCAAATGAGTAGAACAGAGACTATGTGTGAGGGATGGGAAGGATAGGAGGGGCACAGTAGAGTCTGTGACAGAGGGGGGAGGGAGGGCAGAGCAGGTAGGGAGTTGAGTCTTTTCACAGCTTGGTGGATAAAACTGCCTTTGAGCCTGCTGGTTCTGGCTCGGAGACTCCGCAGTCTCCTACCTGATGGCAGTAGGCTGAAGAGACTGTAAGCTGGGTGGGAGGGGTCACCTGCAATCTTAAAAAACCTTCTGTACAATTAACACAGCCATTTTAACAGAAAGTGAGCAGAGCTTTTACACCAAACACCACATTCAATTGAAAAACATAACACTAAATACTGTCATCTGCTACCCAGTAAACCAAATGTCACTAGTGCTAAGTATTTTTTTTATTTTTGTGTTTTGATTAAACACATGAACAAACACTGTGTTGGCCAGGTAAATCTCAACACAAAAGCAACTTTGTGAGGTGTAAACTCATCATCTCTCCAGTGTGACATTAAACTAAAAGTTAAAGAGAAACATTGTCAGGTCTTTTATTAAAATATTGTATCTAAACAGAACAAATATTGCAGTACTTCTTGCTACTTTTTGTTTCCAATGTTAAAATATGTTAAAGAAAAAACCTACTGATTAATGAACGTCACAGTAAGGCAGTGAAGTATTTAACTTCAGTAGTCACTGGATTGGCACACGTTTTCCAGGTACGTCTATTTGAACAAGGTGTCAATCCTGACTCTGAAACTGGTATCCTGTCATTCCCACTTTATTGTCGTTGTTGAATTACTGTGTAACCACGGAAATGCTCCCTCAGGTTCACCATAAACTATGTAATGACCAAAACATGACACCAACTTAATGTGCAGCTGTCGCCACAAAAAAAACCAAAATTTGAATCTGTTCAAAAAATAGTGTGCACAAAATATACACATACAGACCCTTTCCAAAAAAAATTTGAATATCATGGAAAAGTTTATTTATTTCCATAATTCCATTCAAAAAGTTAAACTTTCATAGATCATAGATTCAGGGCCCACAATTTAAACGATTTCAAGTACTTATTTGTTTACATAATTTGGGCTTCCAGCTCATGAAACCCACGGAAAAAGGAATTCGAAAAATTAGAACACTGTAGCGAAATCACCATTCACTTCTCAGTTTTTGCAGTAAAAAAAGAGAAAGAAATTAGGATTACATCAAATCACTCAAAATATGGTATTTTCAAAACAATATGTCAATCTTCAGTAATTGGTTGGGAATCCCTTTGCCTTAATCACTGCCTCAATGCTCCTTGGCATTGATGCAATCAGCCTGTGGCATTGCCTAGGAGTTATGGAAGCCCAGATTTCCTTGATGCTTGCTGTCAGCTCTTCTTTGTTTTTGCGTCTGGTGCCCCTCATTTTCCTCTTGATAATACCCCATAGATTTTCAATTTTTTTTCTCCACAGTATTCTAATTTTTTGAATTCCTGTTTCCGTGGGTTTCATGAGCTGGAAGCCAAAATTATGTAAAAATAAACAAATAAAGACTTGAAATCGTTTAAATTGTGGGCCGTGAATGTATAATCTATGAAAGTTTAACTTTTTGAATGGAATAATGGAAATAAATAAACTTTGCCATGATATTCTAATTTTTTGGAAAGGGTCTGTAATATGTTTTAAAAAGTAGAAATACTGTGTGTATAACAAATGTCACACCAACTCAACCTGATGTTTGATCGAGCAATTATGAAATTGCTCACCAGTGACAATTAGATCCACAAACATTGCATTGTGTAATGTCTCCGAATCTGTTTCCTGGTTCTTCCCACAGACTAAGGACACAGAGCAGCAAATCATCAGAGAAACATTTCACTTGGTCTCGAAAAGAGATGAGAACGTCTGTAATTTCCTTGAAGGTGGAATGTAAGTCATCAAATGTGGATGTATTTTATTACCACGTGACTGTGATTTCCTCCTTTATTGTACCTATTAACTATCATGTAATCTATTCTAGCACATGTTGACTTTTGACTGAAAAGTTTTTTTTCTTCTTCTTTTTCTTTCGGCTTTGTCCCTTTTTTTCAGGGGTTGCCACAGCAAATCATTGATTTCCATCTCTCCCTGTTCTCTGCATCTTCTTCGCTGACTCCAACTACTGTATCTGCATGTCCTCCCTCACTGCATCCATATATCTCCTCTTTGTCTCCTACCTGGTAGCTCCATCTCTAACATTCTTCTACCAATATATCCACTGTCTCGCCTCTGCACATGTCCAAACCATCTCAATCTGGCTTCTCTAGCTTTTTCTCCAAACCTTCCTGTCTGTGTTGTCTCTCTAATGACCTCATTCCTGATCCTGTCCATTCTTGTCACTCCTAAAGAGAATCTTAGCATCTTTAACTCTGCCACCTCCAGCTCCACCTCCTGTCTTCTGCCTATTGTTAGTGTCTCTAAACCATACATCATGGCTGGTCTCACCACCGTCCTGTAAACCTTTCCCTTCACCTTAGCTGACACTCTTCTATCACAGATCACTCCTGACAATTTTCTCCAGCTGTTCCATCCTGCCTGCACTCTATTCTTCACCTCTCTTCCACAGTCTCCACTGCTCTGAACAGTTGATCCTAAGTACCTAAACTCTTGCACCTTCACCACCTCTGCTCCTTGTAGCCTCACTATTTCACTGTTCTCCCTTTCGTTTACACACATGTACTCTGTCTTGCTACGACTGACCTTCATTCAGAAATGTTTTGTTTCTTATTCTGTATTTTTTCCAGTGGCGCTTTGGCCCAGAGGCAATGTCTCTGTCATTGGTGTGGGACCCCAGGGTTCACCTCCTGGGCAAGATCGAATCTTGGTTAGGGTGGTTGGGACCTTCCAGTGGACTCACCACCCGCAGGAAGGTTTAGGGGAGTTGGTACGGTGCAATGTGATTTGGGTGGCGACTGCTGCCCCTGTGACCCGGTAATGGATAAGTGGATGAAAATGGATGGATGGATGTATTTTTTCCAGCTTCTGTGTCAAACTATGATTGAGGGCAAAGGTTAACATTATCTCTATATTGTGAACTACCCCTGAAACTTAATAAAAATACATTTTTTTACTCCTGCTTGTGATTATAAGTATATAAAGAGAATGATGTGTCGTGTTAGTTGTCTTTCTGCCCTTTTCAGTGTAACTGATCAGAATTCTTTTTTGACACATGATCCTGTTCCTTTTCTGCCAGGTTAATTGGAGGATCAGACTACAAACTGATCTACAGACATTATGCCACACTCTACTTTGTGTTTTGTGTGGACTCTTCAGAAAGCGAATTAGGAATTTTGGACTTAATCCAGGTAACTGTGTGTAAAATCCCTGACATTTTATACCAAGTCGGACTCGTGCTCATAGTTTCACATATTTCAATCCTTTCCTTGTAGGTATTTGTGGAAACACTTGACAAGTGCTTTGAAAATGTCTGTGAGCTTGACCTAATTTTCCACGTAGACAAGGTAGGAAGTGAATGCATCTCTATGATCTCTATATTTCTGTAGTATGAAACATGAAATGTCAGATTCTGTTTATGGTAAGGCTTTAAAAAAAATAAATGTTTCATCTGATTATTCACAGGCTAGCCACAGAATGACGACCACTGTGTAGCCAATAATTCCACAGGTCCGTTCACTTGTTGTTGCTCTAATTCACACAGTTGATACACGTTATTTGCACATACCCACAGTATGTGCAAATAACGACCTTTTTTTTACAGCACCTCAACCTTCAAATACCATCTGAATAAACAGATGCGCAGTAGTGCATAATCTACAAACTCATATACTGTAGCAATATTTTGAATTACACTTTGGCATATTTTTGTTTTGACATTTTTCTATATTAATAATTTCATCAGTTGGATTAGTCAGTCAGATAAAAACAGGTGTAAAACACATACATCTACCTGATGTTTGTCTCTCTGTTCCAGCAGTATATGGAATTTTATTGTGGTCAGTTTAAGGAGTGTTGATTCAATTCAATTATTTATTAATTATTATGATTAATCACAATCACGATTAATCGTGATTAATATTTTAATTTTAAATGTTCTGACAGCCCTAGTTTTTACAGTATAATTGAACTAATGTCAGAGTAAGTGGGTTAGAACAACATCATGATAAACCATGTTGATATATAGACTGCCTCACTCTCAGATATACAATATAAGAAGTAGTTAGGGAGTGATTTATTATGTTTTTAATTTTTTATAAAAATTAATGCGTACTATGCGCTTAACTGTTGGATCCTTTTGGGTACTTGAACTTGAAATTGGTGCTAGAAATCTGCATAGTTCTGAACAATTCTCCTTCAAGTTTCTGTATTTTCTTAATCCATGATACATTCCTCCCCAGGTGCACAACATCCTGGCAGAGATGGTGATGGGTGGAATGGTCCTGGAGACCAACATGAATGAAATCATCACACAGGTGGACGCTCAGAACAAGATGGAGAAGTCTGAGGTAAGCCTGACCGCAAGTTGATTCTATTTCCACACTCTCTGAGGTATCGTATGCGGGCATGTGTGTATGCTGCACCCTGCATCTATCGGTCTGTCTGTCTGTCTGTCTGTCTGTTTGTATGTCTTTCTGTCCGTCTGTCCGTCTGTCTGTCTGTCTGTCTGTCTGTCTATCTATCTATCTATCTATCTATCTATCTATCTATCTATCTATCTATCTATCTATCTATCTATCTATCTATCTATCTATCTATCTGTCTATCTATCAAAACTGCACTCATGGTTTGGGTTTGTTTTATAGTTACTAACAATGATGTCAAAACATTGTAGAAAAAATGAGAACAACTGACAGGAAGTGTGAAAACATGAAATCGAGGAGGAGGATGACGACTGCCCTGACACTGACAGTGAAGACTAACTATGTTATGTGTAGCCTATTGCCTCAGAGTTGTATTGCAGTGGTTGCATTGTTAACATTACCATTCATTTTCTTATGCTGTTTTGTATTGTATTATATATTGTACATACTGTATGTATATATGTTTTAATAAAGATTTTTTTTATGAATGATGATCAGTGTATTTAGTTAGGAGCGAATAAATGAACGAATGAATAAACAAATGGTCCTTGTCATTGATTACTTCCTTTTATTGATCAAAATGACTTAACATAGAAAGTTCACCTTATCGTCTATTTTCCTCATCGTTCTTCGTGCAGGCGGCTGTGTATAAAGCACTATTTAGAATCCATTTGGCCCACTTTAGAAGACTTTTGGGAGAATTCCTCTCTATCGGCAACGTTAAGTAAAACCACGGAGGTAGCCGTGTTGCCGGAGTGTTGACATTAATCAGCTGCTCGATTGGTGTAGCATGATCACACGTCGAACCATGCCACCGCTCGTGGACCAAAATGTTATTACGCCCTGAAGAAACTAGTTCGGCATAAAATGCCTCGCCATAAAACATGGGCAGGATGTTTTGCAACAAACTTTTGGTTGTAGGTTAAACGTAACTCGTTCTTTTTTATGAAGTTAAGAACGTGTAGTTCGCAGACGTCAAGATAAAACGATAACAGGGTTCACCTTATGGCCTAATTCTCATAACGAGTTACTATGAAACGTTTCTCAAAAACTCCATAAGGTACACTGTGCACTGTACACAGTTCAACTCAGCATGGACATTTAGGGTTAGCCGCAGCAGGCTGCTAGCATAGAGCAGCACAACTTGAAACAGCTTCAGTGATGCTATGTCTGGAAAAAAAACAACCTTGTCCTGTCGTTAGCCTCTTCAAATTGGCCGTGTTCAGTTGGATGATTGTGGTTTAAGTGTCAGATTAGATTAGCTGTTCTGATCGACTTCATCGTGGCTGTTGGTTCACTTTAGGCCAACATATTAGGTTAGCCTTTGGTAATGGTAGCGTTTTCTTACGAGTATGAGCTTCTGCTTCCGTTCTCAGACACAGAACTGTCACGCCGTAAAACATGTGAGCTAACCTGTGGTTGCGGATTGGGGTTGTTCATGTTGAAAATCATCCGACTATGATCACTGGTGTGTCCATCGGTGCATCTCTCATGAAATTAATCAAAATGACTAAAATAAGTGATGTTGATGTTTTGTTTTATTTTTGTTTTTATTTTATTTTCCTAAATTTGATGCACACATTCTGGACATACATATCCATCCATAGCATCAAATGCATGTGCATTTGATGCTATGAAGGCATCTGAATGTACATCTGCACATGATGTCCATCTAGTAGCTGTCAGTGCTTTTGCATTGTGTCAACAGTTGACTGATGTTTGTCCAGTTTCTTCTGTCAGCATACTGTGTGTGTGTGTGTGTGTGTGTGTTTGGAATGTTCACTGTCCAGTAGGTGGTAATATTCAGCATTTTTGTTACATGCACTGCTTTGTATCTGAATCACTCTCCTGTGTGTGTTTGTGTTCATGTGTTTGTTAGGCTGGAATTGCAGGAGCACCCGCTCGTGCCGTATCGGCTGTAAAGAACATGAAACTTCCGGAAATGCCCAGAAACATCAACATTGGTGATATCAACATAAAAGTGCCAAATTTACCTTCCTTCAAATAGTGGCAGCAAGTCCCTGGATCAGCAGACGTTAGCCAATGTTTACCATGATGCAGTCTGTTTACCAACACCTCAAAGTAACTTTGATCAAAGGTATACATCTTGAAGGTACCGTGTGGTTTGTCACTCCTTGTTTTAGTGTTATCACTGTGTTTCTCCTTTAAAGAACACAATGTTTTACGTGATTTGTCTGTTTTTTTTCCTGTTGGAAGGAACATTTAAGTATTTATTTGTGAGTGGTACATTCCTTTTGCCTCACTGGAGGCCCATGGCATTCAGCTGCTAAAGTTCAGATTCCTGTCAGTTTGGAAGTGATAACTTCCACTTATTCATAAGTTTACATAAAGGTGCAAAAATGGCTGGTATTAAAGTCTTAGCTAAAAAAAAAAACACTTGAAGATCTGCTACAGACTGTCATGTGATGGCGTATTTGTAAAATTAATGCATATAATAATTCAGCACGATTATTATATTGCTTTGTTACAGAAGTCTGAAAAGTATATATGCTGAAATGAACCTTTCTCTATTGTTTGTATGCAAAATATTTTTAAATAATTTCTCACGTTTTAACAGATTATTGTTTGATTTTATTCTATAGCCTTTTTTCTCCTCTTTTTCAATGTAATAAACATTGATAAAGATTAACCTCTACCAAAGTGATGCAAAGGCCAAAGTATGGAGAAGGAAAGGATCTGCTTATGATCCAAAACACACAAGCTCATCTGTAAAGCATGGTGGAGGTAATGTCATGGCTTGGGCTTGCATGGCTGCTTCTGGAACGGGCTCACTTTACTGAGTCAGTCTTTATTGCTGATGTAACTCGTGATGGTAACAACAGAATGAATTCTGAAGTCTACAAAACCATTCTGTCTGGCAATTTACAGAAAAATGCATTCAAACTAATCGGGAGAAGCTTCATAATGCAACAAGACAATGACCCAAAACACACTGCCAACACAACAAAGAACTACATCAGGGTGAAACAGTGGAAGTTCTTGGACTGGCCAAGTCAATCACTGGACTGTAACCCAATAGAGCATGGATTTTCCCTCCTGAAGAGAAGACTGAAGGGAGAAACCCCCAGAAACAAACAGTAAAGGCCTGGGACAGCATTTCAAATGAAGAATGCAACAGCCTGGTGAAGTCAATGGGTTGCAGGCTTGATGCAGTTATTGTAAGTAAGGGTTATGCCACCAAATATTAAATGTTATTCACTTTAAGTTAATTTAATAATGTCTGTTCCAATACTTTTGCTCACTTGAAAGGTGGGTGGGGTCAAAGAAAAGGTGCTCTGTCCTGAGTTGTTTAACACATCTAGATCAATAGGTCAATACCATAAAATAAAATCTGGAATTCTGAACTTTTGTGTCATATTCATCTTTTGATCTGAAACCCAAATGTCTTCAGTATACAACAAAAACAAAGGAACTGACCTTGCTGTTTCAATACTTTTAGAGGAGACTATAATTCCATTTGTTTGCCTTAGTACTCTACTTGAGAAAAAAAAATCCATTGCAAAGAGACTGAACAACAATGAAGAACATTTTTAATTTTTTTAACTGCCATTTATAGAAACCAAAGAGAACTTCGTCTCCCTAAGTGTAACTGTAAGAAAGCTAATTTATATGGGAAGTAAAAATATAATTTGGCCAGGTGTTTTAGAGAAAACCACTAAATACTACTTTAGTTATTACAGTACTATTATGAAATTAAAATTAGCTGTCTTAGAAGCTAATGTCTAAGAGTATCAACAGAAAGTACTTATTTGAAAATAAATTACAGATTAAAAACACTTAAATGAAGTGCTTTTAATTCTGGATTGTTTTAAAATACAGTATATTATTCAAAATAAAAGACAAACTATATAACACTTATGTGAGTTCTTCCTTGACACACGCTGACACAGATGATCGTTCGACAGACTTTATTGAGGCTATTATAAAGCGCTCCTGCGCCGTGCTTGGCTTTTTTGGTTGCGTGGCGTGCTTGCTGCACTCGTACGCACTTCTCTGCCCCCTCCTCGGTCCCGGCTCCTTCTAATATAGGGTAGTGATGTGCGGATCGATCCTGAAATATCGATACTTCCGATTCAGGATCTTTATGCTCTGAAATCGATTCTGAAATCAAAATATCGATACTTTTGATACTTACGCATTCTGAGATGAGGTGTATCCTAAACAGAAACATGGTGAAAAGTATCCAAATTATTGAGATGTTGTCTAAGTGACGCTCGGTTGGTGGGACTACTTCTTCTTCCGCCTGGGTGTGTGCGTCATGCTTAAGCACAGGGGCTCTACTCCGTGCTCTCACTCAGTCACTATTGATGGGAATTTCGGCTCTTTTTTGGAGAACCGGTTCTTTTGGCTCGGTTCACTGAAAAAATCCGACTCTTTCGGGTCCCAAATGGCTCCTCAGATTATTTATTTTATTTTTTTATTTATTTTTGTTTTACAAATAACATGTTTTCAGAGTTTGAAACATTGTTTTGACATATTTTATATGATTGTGTTCTCAAGGTTTTCTATTGTTGTGTTGACTGTATAGTAAATGAGGCAGCTACCTCAGTACACTCCAGAGTTTAAAATAAATAAATAAATAAAAACCTCAGCCTCGGATTCTTAAAGAAGCTATGATTTGAAATACACATGTTTTATTTAAAAGACAAATGATAAAATATCGATAACGGTATATGCGATACCAGCCCGAATTTTACTCGGTATCGGATCGGAAAGGAAATTGGTGGTAACGAACATCACTACTGTTAAGTTTCTGTATTATTTATGTTCCACAAGTATATCAGGGGAGAGCGCGGACGCAGTCCCCCACTACCAGAAATTATGCAGTCGAGATTCCCACATTTGGGGAATTCGCAGGGGTCAGCACAGCCGGAGTGCAATGGCTAAGCCTCGCCCTGGGTGAACCACCTTCTTGATCATGGTATCTCCCCTGCCAGGTAAGTATGAGTTGTACACGGGTTACACTGCCAACCCATACACTCGGAAACCCTTCTTACTGATGGTGCTACCACCTGGAAACGCATTCAAACAAAGCACATTCAAGCACTACCACACCAATGTTATAATTTATAACAAAACATAAAATAAAAACACACACACACACACACATATATATACAGAGAACGTAGTATGTTTAAAATGGAAAAAAGGAGGATTATTATTATGGAGGATTAAAAGAGCCACACTTTTAATAAGCAGAGTACAGTCTCGTGTTCTACATCAACTACACAGACAAAACACTTATATTCATTAGAACGAGCGGATAGTGAAATTTTTTCTGACCTGTTATAGGTTAACAACGTCACTATTGCTGAAACAACTCAGTTGGATACTTATATTTCACAATTTTAGGGGGTGCACCGTTCCTGGAGGTACTGCAATACCAGGTCGATACGCGGAGTGGACGGAGCAAGCCCCTATTCCATCTCCCAGATCCAAAAATCAATTTAATATATGGTCCCCGGGTAGGGGACGTATCAGATATTAAACTGATAAGAACAGATACTACACTTGATCTTAGCCAAAAGGCCGAGAAGCGATAACGACACACCCCTGCTCTACGCTCATACCCAAGGACACCGCTCTTTTTGTTGTGTAGAACCACCGATTTAATGATGGAGGAACAGTAGCAGAGACAACACGGAAGACGTCGAGGAAAACGCCGCCGGTATGGCGGCCGTCTTTGGTTTTAAAGGCTGCCAGAAAATTCGAGGTCCGCAGATTAGGAACCTGCTGGAGGCAAAGGACTTCTTCCTCTTCGACTGTGACGGAGTCATATGGCACGGAGAGAAGGCGATTTCCGGCGCCACCGCCGTGGTCAATTCGCTAATCCGCCGCGGTAAAAACGTTTTTTTCGTAACCAACAACTGCACCAGGCCCCGGGAGAATTATGTGCTCAAGTTCTCCAGGCTGGGCTTTAATGGTGTGATACTGGAGCAGATTTTCAGCTCGTCCTACTGCTCGGCCCTTTACTTGAGGGACGTGGTGAAGGTCCGCGGTCAGGTGTTCGTCATCGGCTGCGACGGACTGCGCAGAGAGCTGCTGCAGGCGGCCATCCCCTGCGTGGAGGAGGCGGATGATCCCGGCGCCACCATCTACGACTGTCCCCTGGCTGCGAATGTCAAAGCGGTGCTGGTGGGACATGATGACAAAATGACTTTTCTAAAACTGGCCAAAGCCTCGTGTTACCTGAGAGACCCGGAGTGTCTGTTCCTGGCCACTGATAATGACCCCTGGCACCCGCTTTCCGGGGGGAGGATCCTGCCAGGTACAGAGGGGGTGATGGGCGATCAGACAGACTTACTAGACTTTAATGACTTATTCGTATTCTTTAACTTTATAATAGGTTATATTTGATGATGAAGAAAAAAAAGATGCTGTTTAAGACAGTCTTAAGATATACATAAACAAACAGTCAGTTTATTCGTTTATAACAGTTTATTTTGATGTTGTGTGTTGTTCTACAAAATATTTTCTGACCCCTCCTCAGGTTCTGGATCCCTCACTGCAGCACTGGAAGTAGCCTCGGGCCGCAAGGCCACTGTGATCGGCAAACCCAGCCGCTTCATGTTTGAGTGCATCTCCAGTCAGTTCAGTGGTGTCGATCCCGCCCAGTGCCTGATGGTCGGGGACCGCTTGGAGGTCGATATGCTGTTCGGCTCCAACTGTGGGCTGGACACCATGCTCACTCTGACGGGTGTGTCCCAAATAGAGGAGGCCCAGGAGTACAGGAATAGTGAGCTGACCAGCAACCACAGCTTTGTACCAGACTATGTGGTAGATACTATAGCTGACTTCTTACCTGCTTTCGAGGAACTGGAGGAACAGAGCAGTTAAATCTGATGTGCAGACTGCATCTACTTTATCTTCAAGTGCAATGTTTTAGTCTGCCATTTATAGAATAATAAAAAAAGAACATTCCAATCTAGGCTAATCCAAAATCATAAATGCCCTTTGGAACCAATCGGCTGTTCATACAAAGTCATGCATAGACCAGAATATTCTCCTCAAACTGACCCACAGGTTAACTGCATTTTTCAGTGTTTCCTATAGTGTCGTACATACTCGTGACTTTGTTTGTACATTGTTGTTTATATCAATATATGAATAAATAGATAAAGAGAGACAGCTGTTGAAGGAGATCTTGGTGTATCTTTCTTCAAATCCTACGAGTTAATTGCTGGATATACAGACATGGACAAAATTGTTGGTACCCTTCTGTTATTGAAGAAAAACCCACAATAGTCACTGAAATAACTTGAAACTGAAAAGTAGTAATAAATAAAAAATTACTGAAAATGAACTAATGAGAATCAGACATTGCCTTTGAATTGTGGTTTAACAGAATAATTTTAAAAAACAAAATAATGAAACTGGCCTGGACAAAAATGATGGTACACAGAAAGTCTGTCTATTTAAAAGGTGAAAAGTCATCTCTGTGCTGTTTGGTACACTGAACATGGACCACAGAAAGCTAAGGAGAAAGTTGTCTCACAAGATTAGAAAGAAACTTATAGACAAGCATGTTAACGGTAAAGGCTATAAGACCATCTCAAGCAGCTTGATGTTTAAGGTCCATGGGACTGTAGTCAACCTCCCTGGATGTGGCTGCAAGAGGAAAATTGATGACAAATTGAAGAGAGACAGATAACAGAACAACTTCCAAAGAGATTAGAGGTGAACTCCAAGGTACGTCAGTATCAGAACGCACCATCCGTCGCTGTTTGAGCCAAAGTGGACTTAATAGAAGACGACCAAGGAGGACACCACTGTTGAAAGCAAATCATAAAAAAGCAAGACTGGAATTTGCCAAAATGCATAATGACAATGACAAAAAGCTTCTGGGAGAATGTCCATTGGACAGATGAGACAAAACTGGAGCTTTTTGGCAAGTCACATCAGCTCTATGTTCACAGATGCAAAAATGAAGCATACAAAGAAAAGAACACTGTACTTACTGTGAAACATGGAGGAGGCTCAGTTATGTTCTGGGGCTGCTTTGCTGTATCTGGTACAGGGTGTCTTGAATCTGTGCAGGGTACAATGAAATCTCAAGACTATCAGGGCATTCTGGAGCGAAATGTGCTGCCCAGTGTCAGAAAGCTTGGTCTCAGTCACTAGTCATGTGTCCTCCAACAGGATAATGACCCAAAACACACAGCTAAAAACACCCAAGAATGGCTAAGAACCACACATTGGACTATTCTGAAGTGGCCTTCTATGAGCCCTGATCTAAATCCTATTGAACATTTGTGGAAGGAGCTGAAACATGCAGTCTGGAGAAGACGGCCTTCAAACCTGAGACAGCTGGAGCAGTTTGCTCACGAGGAGTGGGCCAAAATACCTGTCGACAGGTGCAGAAGTTTTGAGAGTTACAGAAATCACCTGATTGCAGTGATTGCCTCAAAGGGTTGTGCAACAAAATATTAAGTTAAGGGTACCATCATTGTTGTCCAGGCCAGTTGCATTATTTTGTTTTTTAAAATTATTCTGTTGAACCACAATTCAAATGCAATGTCTGATTCTCATTTGTTCATTTTCAGTATTTATTTTTATTTATCACTATTTTTGTCAGTTTCAAGTTATTTCAGCGACTATTTTGGGTTTTTCTTTCTTTAACCTTAGGGTACCAACAATTTTCTCCACATCTGTAGCAGATGATTTAATGACATGTACACACAGCCCCTACTGAATAAGTCATCCTGCCTCTGCTTACACACCCATAGTCCTCATCAATTTTTCAGTGAAGACCATTTCTCTGTCTCGGTCCTTCTCTGTCTGCCTCTCCATGTCTCTGTCTATCTTTGGAATTATTTTTATCCTTTGGCTTTTTGGAGCTGGAGTCATCGTCATGGATTTTAAATCTTGCATTGTCCTCGTTTTTATGTTTGATGGGTGAAAAGGCTGGAATCTATGTTATTGTTACGAAGAAAAAAACCAGTTGTGAAATATAATTGACTGAAAAAAAGGCTTTTGCATTAATTCATGCACTGATAGGAGTGGAACTATTACTCTCGTTCAGGACGGATGTCAAAACACACAATTCCCGTTGTATTATCTCCTGATGTATTGTCGTTCATATTCCGTTTTATCCACAGCGGGTGGGTGAAAACACATCCACATTCATAACGTCAGGCACCTTTTTACCTTGCCGTCGGAGAATTAATGTCATTTGGATCAAGCCCTGCGTGTTCCTCCACTGGCTTTGAACTGCTAAATGATTGATGGGTGAGTTGAAAAGGAATGTAGGTCACTGTGGGTGAGTGTTTGACACAAGCAGCATAAATCAGACAGGGCAAAGAAGATAATGACTCAGCAGCGGTCATTACAGGTGTATTCAATGGCATAAGACGCTGCAGTTTCCTCAAAAACCTAGACGGCACCTTTTTAATACTCTGTTATTCGATGTTAAAATATGCACATAGAGAAGATTTATCAGTCGAGGGCAGTGAGAGTGGGCTGTGTCGGCCCATATTATATCCACTTATTCACCTGTAATAGATCGCTTTAGTGATGATGTGTGTAAGCAGACAGCAAGGTGGGCCCACCTGTACGGTATAAATGGAAGAATGGAAAATGTTTTTGTCTTTGCTGAGACAGGTGTGAAGCTGTCACACCTGTCTCAGCAATATACAGCTTTTTGTTATATTTCTACCCTATTTATTTATTTCGATTAATTGGGATTAATCGATCACTTCATTTCGATCATGATTAATTGTGACTAATTACGATCATGATTAATCGTGATGAACTCACAGCTAAGCTGTGACTAATAAGGTTAAAATTTATGTTTGACACTCTTAACTTTATCGTAAACTATATTAGCAGAAATGGACCTAATAAAGTTAAAAGGTAATAAGTCATTTTGAGCAATAAAAGGAAGTAATCAATGACAAGGACCATTTGTTTATTCATTCGTTCATTTATTCGCTCCTAACTAAATACAACACTGATCAAAACATATACTGATACTAAAACATATATACATACAGTATGTACAATATATAAAACAATACAAAACAGCATAAGAAAATGAATTGTAATGTTAATGCAACCACTGCAATACAACTCTGAGGCAATAGGCTACACACGACATGTTAGTGTTCACTGTCAGTGTCAGGGCAGTCGTCATCCTCCTTCTCCTCAATTTCCTTTATGTGTGCACAGTTGCAACACCTACACAGGTCTGTATAACAGAGTCCTGCAGAGACACAGGAACACCTACCTGTCTCACAAGCACTCTCCTTGCAGCTGCAGTGTATGACATGCAAAACGCTGTCAGGTGTCGGATTTCTTGTCACCCATGTGACATAGGTTTCCATCTTCTAGGTGCCAACCGTATCCAGCAGGTAATGGAGCACCTATATTTTGTTTGATGCAGAACCTCATGACTGCAGCCTAATAATTTGCCCTTTTGCAGTGCTGATGAAGGGCATAACTTGTGGGGGGAATAGACAATTCTGGCGAGGCTGATGATGCCATACAGAAAGTCTTGTACCTAACCTCATTGACAGTGACCTCATTGCAGTGCAAATGTTGAGTGGTAAGTTAAAGTTAGCACCCAAATTTATAAAACCCTTGAGGTACTCTTAAGGTTTCTCACATGCTACAGAAAATGTCTTTCTTTTGCGTTTACCATAAAAGGCACTTGTGGAGTCACACCCAGAGAATATATGTATGCCAACCAAGGCTGAACACACACTGGTTCAAGAGCTGATGACACCTTGGTAATGTCAATGATGCGTGACCTGTTGCCCGTCCCTGTGAAAAAATATAAGCTGCATGGTAGATGTGTCTGCAGACTTACAGCAATGACAATGCCACATCAGTGTCAGGGCTCTTAACGATGACAGTTGTGTGCTCCTGTGCAGCATGTTGTGCATGCAAAAACACCCTTGTGTCACATTCTCCATTACAGTCACAGAGTGACATTGATCCCTATGTGTTATGTACAAGCTGAGGTTTTTACCCAATCCTGTAAGATCTGCATTACGATTTGTCCTTTTTCTTGCATATTATGCACATGGCTGGAAGGATGGGGCCAGAGCTCGCGATGGGCAGGCCTGACCTGGGTCTAAGTTTCTTTGTCGGAAACGAAGAAGTCCTGTTCAATGCTGATGGGATGGCCTCACTTCTTAAGCGGTCTTCCGTATCCTCTCCTCTATCACGCTCGAAAGGCCTTTTCACTTTTGCAATTGCACTCTTGTCAATAAACCTCAGGTAACATGTGGGATGGAAACCAGCGTTCCCGGGAATGCTTTCAAACTCCAAATCCAGGCAGTGTTTGTAGTTTTCAGCTACGTATCGGCACTCACCCCTCAACCCAAGCCACCGATGTCTTCTTGTACGTATTCCACCGTGCGAGTGTGAAATCCTGAATTTTTTTCTTGTTTCACAGAGGCTATGTGCATATAGCACAGGTTGTCCTGAAGATTTCGTTTTTTACTCTTTTTTGGTGAGTTTTCCTCTTCTTCGGTACTGCTAGATGAAACTCTGCAGGCAGCCATCTTGCTTTTCTGTTTACCAAAAGCTGCTACTCTATTGGTGTAGTCTGGTCACGTGTCAGCTGTGCCACCTCTCACGCACCAAAAGTTTGTTGCGCCCTGAAGACGCTAGTTCTGTATAAAATGCCTCGTTATAAAAAATGGGCATGAACTTTTTGATGTATGCTTAACATAACTCCTTTTTATGAACTAAAGATTGTGTAGTTCGCAGACATCAGAGCGGAATTCAATTTCTGAAAGACTTTGTGCTTCACCTTACGGCCTAATATGAGGTATGTGTATAGAGTGTAAATAGTCTCTGCTTGGACTCAAATAAACCAACCTTTAGTGGATGAGTTTCATAACACATTCTTTTTTTAATTTCAGTTCAGTTCAGTGCAGCTGCTTCAGTGAAACAAAAGCTTTTTCCTACAGTGTGTGTAAATGATGTCTGTATCGACCGAGTATTAGAGCAACGATAAGTGCGTGGACAGTGTTATTATACATTATACAGTGTGTGTGTCTTCGTACCTGTGCATTACAATGTGTGTACAAGGAACATAATGCTTTACCGGAAACACTGCAAACACTATTTTATTTCTTTCAAATTTTATTCCATGTTAATACCATAAATATACAAAACTATTTCACATGCGACAAAGGCCAGATGAAAGTGCAATACATTTTTTTTTACATGACTGGTGATGGGGATCAAATTTACTCATTACTTTACAAAATATACAAGTGTCCCTTCTGAATGAGTTTTTAGTTTAAACCAGTGAAAGCAAATTCAGTGGGGTTTAAAAAAAGAAAGAAAAGAACAACACAGTTTAGTGTGGGCAAACTACAGATACATCATTCTGTACTACAGACGTTAAATACATCAACAAATACCCACTGAGGCATGGCTTTGTTTAACTGCTCCAAACTATAGATACGTTGTCAGTGTTCCAGTTCAAACTGTTCCAGTAAAATACGACCAGGAGACACATCAAAAAAAAAAAAAATCTAAATGACATTTGGTAGATCTCTCACAGCTTGTCAGGACTTAAAATAACACTTGAGGGTTTTTTTTATGTACAACTATTGTACATACAACCTCATTCACATGTACACAACTTCTGCAGGATCAAATTGCAAAAATCACAGCACAAAGCAAAATACAGATTAAAAAACAAAATCAAACCAAACACAACTAAAAAAGCAAACAACATAAATAACATTATAAATAAACCAGAAAAGTGCAACCACTCAAAAAACATGTGACTATGTCACGACCACTTTTTGATCGTTGCGTGTTTGTGTGAGAGCCACACACCTATCGTGCACGCACAGCTGTTCATGTCATGTTCATGTCGTCGTCCACTGTGCATGCACACACATTCAGCCACTCATCAACAATACGAGATGATAGAGCACAACACTAATGTTCATTTTTGAACATTAACTGAAGGTAATGTTCAAAAAACGCAGCGACCTACTGACCTGGCACACCACCTACCGACTCATGCAGTATTTGTATGGCTCATAAATGAAAAACGGACAGAAAAGAAAATATCTTCACTCTTAATGCGCTGAATAAAGACAGACACCGGACATAACCATGGCTGCCGTGAGTGAGCTGAACATGCGTGTTCCTTTTCATGCTTTCACACCTCACACCAGTATGTTACAGTGATGTCGACCGAGGCCACTTCACCAAAAATTACAAAAGCACACAGAGAGAGGAAGATAGCAGTTCAACCAGCTAGTGTGGCTTAAAGGCTATGGATGGTGACTGCAGGTCTGTCCTGTAATAAGAACATTTAGACACAATCCTATTTATGAGAATTCAGTTTAACCATCTTGACAACAGCAGATAAGGTAAAATTCACCTTTAGCGTTTTCATAATCAAGCAACGTGTTAAAAAAAAGTCACAATTATCTTAAAGTACAGCTTCACAGAGTCACAGCCACTCAAACGTACACTGAATGTCCAGTAGATGACCATGACAACAGAATTATGTGCAAACACCACCATCAGATTATCAAGTATTTTTATGTCTCTACTGCGTTAGGTTATTAGCAATTAAAAAAGGTTTACGCTTGAAATACTATTGCAGCCTGATTGAGGATCAATGCAACATGACAGACGAACACAAAGATCGTGATGATACGTGAGAGAAGTACTATCTAGACCGTCTGAGAATACCTTGAGTATTGAGACATGTCAATGGGAGTGAGCTGAGCTCACCTGACTGTTGTCTGAAAACTGAATGTTTTTTAAATGATAGTGGGTGAACAGCTGTGGGCATGGTGTCTGTTAGTCTTGCTACAAACAACAAGGCCAAAGCTTCACATCTCTCTTTTTTCAGTATGTGTGTGAGTGTGTGTGTTGGTTCAGGGATGAGGTTTAAAGGCTCCACGAGCAGCGTTGGATGCAACGCTAGCTGCAGCGTTAGCCGCCGCAGTCTGCACCGTCTTGTTGGACATGACTCCAGTTGCAAACTCCTGCTGGGCTTTTTCAAAGCTAGCACCAGTGGTACGGTAGAGCGCATGTACCTGTGGAGGGGTGAGATAATATTTGGTTAAATGAACACATTACATTTTTGACTCCTTTGGGGGAAAAAAGTACATTTCAATGCTGTTACTATACTGCAATACTCAAGGTGTTACCTTCAGTGACTCATTCAGGAGGTCTTTAAATGAGTATCTTCAACTGCCCCCCAACCCGGACTCTCATGATTTAAAGACTGGAATAATAATTTTCCATTTACTCTCTCCTTTGGGTATTTTAGGAACTTCCACCTCAGTTACTAATGTGGAGCCTTCTTGTTCTTTTTCTTTCGGCTTTGTCCCTTTTTTCCAGGGGTTGCCACAGCGAATCATTGATTTCCGTCTCTCCCTGTTCTCTGTATCTTCTACTCTGACTCCAACCATCTGCATGTCCTCCCTCACTGCATCCATAGATCTCCTCTTTGGCCTTCCTCTTTGTCTCCTACCTGGTAGTTCCATCTCTAACATTCTTCTACCAATGTATCCACTGTCCCTCCTTTGCACATGTCCATATGTGGAGCCTATGGAGAATTATTTGTTACCTTTTTGAACATGATGAGCGAGCCCACGGACAGTGCAGTGAACAAAGCAGCGACCAGCAGCATAATGATGCCCACTGGGATACTACTGTTCAGACTGGTCAAAGCTGCAATCCAGCCACTGGCAAAAAATTAATTAATAAAAATAAAAATTAGAACACACTCACCAAGCTACACATTAGCACTGAACCCCAAATACTGACCATGTTCCCCATCCAGTGATGCCAATAGCTTGTAGAACGTGAACGCCAAACTGACAGATGTAGACAAAGAAGAAGATGAAGAAGCGGAATGAACTGTCACTCCTGCAGTGGACAACAAGGAGGGAGGGAGTGAGAGACAGGAACATTTGGCGAAGGGGGTAAAAATCACAAAAGTGTACAAAAGTATCCTTTGTGTCCACTGTGTCCTTATCCATGCCTTTTTTCAAACTTCTTCTGTGGCTAATGAACTAGGGGTTACCAAAAAATATGGAGTAATACGTAAGAATACATTTAATGTTTGCAGTTCCCTTATACAGTAACAAACCAGTTTGGTGCCTGGACTTGGCAGAAAGGGCGTGGCTACGGAGTGTTCTATTTATGGTTGGTACTATTATAGAAATTTCTCTGTATTGCTGATGGTTATTCTCCCAGTTTCTTTCCACATTTCTCCAATGACCACAGTCTGGGCCTCTAAAAATGTTTTTATGGGCTGCACATGGCCCTCAAGCCACTATTTGAATAGGCAGGGTTAAGGGTCTATAGAATAGATTCTATATGAGAAACATTTGTATGACATTTCTAAGCTGAAGGAGCGGGATGTAAATGTGACAGAAGAACATCCTGAGTGGAGGCCATTACATTTCTGAAAGGTCAGGACGCTGAGCTGTTTGAATGGATGTAACTAGGACAGAGAGGATGAGACATGAACAAGCAATACATCTTAACTGATATAGAATTGAATCAGACAGAGATGATTTGATATAATAAAGAATTAAGACTAATTTAACTTTAACTAGAGCCATTTCCCCTTACAAAAAAACCTACTTTATTTATGATGACATCAGAAATGAACAGGGTAAAATCTAAAATGGATTCAATTCACTTACCTAAAAGCCCCGTAAAGTGGTCTGTACCAACAGACAAAGGAACAGGGGGTAAACAGCAAAAACCATAAAATGGCCAGACCAAAGTCTACACCATGCGATCCATCCACAGAGAACCAGGCTAGGCAGCCAAACATATTCACAAAGAGAGTTCCTGCATGAACTGGAGACAAGGGCAGAGAGACAGAGATGTGCCATGTTGTTGTTAAAATATTTTGCCTGTATCCAAGACACCATAGGTTGAAGCTTCCCTTCTTCCTCTACTGTTTCAATGCACGCAGCAACAATTTACCAATGTAAGCACAGAAAATGAACTCCATGATGATCCACTCACATATCCAGAGGTTATACATGATCTTGACTGTCTTCTGGAACTCTATAGGGACGTCCACAGCAATATCGTGGTAGAAACATGGACCAACAGGGAACATCTGTGGAAGTGGAGGCCAGTTGTTCTTACGACCTGTGTGGAAGAAGCCAGTAACGGATTTAGAACAAAAATAATTGAAAATGTTTGTACAAATGTTCATGCACAAAATTTCCCTGACGTGTGGAACTGCAGAAGTAGCTGCATCCATTTATCCTCGGTGTTGCTTCTAAAGAACCTCACCAACATTCTGCCGCTTGATTCTGGTTTTTAGCTGAATGTTTTGGTCTGAACTTCGCACTTTGGCCTTTTCTTTTTGGTAGCATTTTGTTGGCCTTTCTGGTTTTATCCAGTTAATCTTCATTGGTGCAGTAGCAGCATTCAGGTCACGAGTGTAGACGGTGCCCTCTTGTGGCCACATATAATGTATTTTCTTTGCTCATAAGTTTCTTCAAGTAGCAAGAGAGGAAAACTACTATAATGGTCCAGAAAATATAATAAACATTTTCCGTAACAAAAAAAAAAAAAATTAAAATAAGACACAATATACATATAAAAATATCCCTTCCATATACAGTAAAGCTTCCTAAACTTCAAGTAAGGCAAACTGCAAAATTTTGAAATCTAACCAAAGGCTGCAGACTATATATTTTCAGACAAACTGATCTTTATGATACTAGCTTGTCACATCGAGTGTGAATGTGTGAAGGAAAGAGACATCACTGAAGAAGTGACGGACCACCTGCAGCTCCGTGGGACTGTAACTCTCTTTCCCGATGGTCAAGCTCCGCTGCTTTCCTCTCCAACTCCTCCTGTCTTCTCAGCAGCTCAGCCTGAGCACGGGCTTGATCCTAACAAAGACACAGAAATACTTGTAAGACACAAGTTATGACATGCAATAAAGGGACTAAAGAGAGATAATGTTCCACTCAAGTGAGCTGTCGGCTCATTTTTCTTTTTAGTCTGCACTAAACCAACTCTGAAAAAAGCCACATATGAGAGGGGGAAAAAAATCACTTCACACATGAAACAAAAGACAAATTGTGCAGGTTGTGGAATAGGGTGTGTCTGCTATATCATCAGAGCACATGCATGTGTACGTGTGTCAGTATACATAGAAAAAAGTAGAATTAACAGCTGCATAGTCAGGGTGCCGTACCTGATTCCTCGGCTGTGAATAAGCCGGCGGCTCTTCTGTGGGCTTCATGATGGCGGGCTGTGTGTTCTGTGAGGGGGCTGGAGTAGATTTGGCAGCATTTCCAGGGCCTGCCTGTAATTACATACAGCACAGGGATAAAGTTGATGAGCCATACAATGAAGATTTTGGAAAGAGTAGTTGAAGCCAGGTTGAGGCAGGAAGTGGAGATTTGTGAACAACAGTATGGTTTCATGCCTAGGAAGAGTACCACAGATGCAATATTTCCCTTGAGGATGCTGCTGGAGAAGTACAGAGAAGGTCAGAAGGAGCTACATTGTGTTTTTGTAGATTAGAAAAGGCATATGACAAAGGGCCAAGGCAGGAATTGTGGTTTTGTATGAGGAAGTCAGGAGTGGCAGAGAAGTATGTTAGTTTGGTGCAGGTCATGTATGAGAATAGTACAACAGTCGTGAGGTGTGCTGTTGGAAGGACAAATTACTTCAAGGTGGAGGTGGGACTACATCAAGGATCGGCCCTGAGCCCCTTCTTGTTTGCTTTGCTGATGGACAGATTGACAGATGAGGTCAGACAGGAGTCCCCATGGACTATGTTGTTTGCAGATGACATTGTGATCTGTAGTGAGAGTAGGCAGCAGCTAGAAGAAAACCTAGAGAGGTTTGCACTAGAAAGAAGAGGAATGAAGGTCAGTCGAGCAAGACAGAGTACATGTGTGTAAACGAAAGGGAGAACAGTGAAATAGTGAGGTTACTTGGAGCAGAGGTGGTGAAGGTGCAGGAGTACTTAGGATCAACTGTTCAGAGCAGTGGAGACTGTGGAAGAGAGGTGAAGAATCGAGTACAGGCAGGATGGAACAGCTGGAGAAAATTGTCAGGAGTGATCTATGACAGAAGAGTGTCAGCTAAGGTGAAGGGAAAGGTTTACAGGACGGTGGTGAGACCAGCCATGATGTATGGTTTAGAGAC